CTATTCTGGAGTCATGAGTTACATATAGTTATTTTTATATAAGGTCATCTGCCCACGTGCATTGATCTGTCACGCTCTATGGTAATAATAATAATAATAATAATAATAATAATAATAATAATAATAATAATATATGCTTACATGCTTATGGTTGTGCTTTGGGCGTCTTCACTACAATTATGCTTATGCTTATGCTTGTACTTATGTCGTAGTGAAAAGATGGCTTAATCATAGTACAGTAATTAGACCACTTCTCTGCGTTGTTTGCCTGCATTGGTTGCCTGCGTTATTACATTTTTAAACTCACGTTTGTTTTCACTNGCTGTTAGGAAAGAAGGAGTTAAAGTAAGGTTATGTTGTTTTAGACGTCATAGGTCATCATGCTCATTGAATTGATTTTATTACTCACAACCATTAAAATAACATAATTGCGAATGCAAGGAAGGAAATTGGAGGTTATAATTGCTAGTATTTTATAACCTAACCGGGATTTCACTTATGCTCTGAATGTATGGAAATTTCAAGGATTCTTGGTTTAGATTTTAGTCTGGGAAAAGTCACGGATATGTCACCAAAATCAACTGACCGTGAAGGCCTGGGAGAAAGTCATACAGGAACTAGGCAACACTGCACCTCTCGAAGGGTTCCAAATTTCAAAGACATTAATTTGTATTTTCACTTGTTTGTACAGATAAATAATGTAATAAAATTGGAAGAGTTCATTATCCGATATTTCATTGGGGCAGCCCCTAACCAACGCGTCAGGGAGCGGTACGGAGCTGCAGTTCTCGATATTCCAGGACACGAAACGGTGCTAAGACTTAAGAAAACGCTACAACGATTATGTGACCATTTGGGTGTCATGTGCTCTGAGGATTACTTTGAAAAATGCAGCAAGATTTTGTATGGAGCTCCGTCATTCACCAGAAATACAGTAGTTTGGACCGAGGAGCAAAAAGAGCGCGTCACAAAAATGATGAAGAAATACCCTTTTCTGAAAGAATATTCATTTGATAAATATCCCAGCTAAACAAACAGTAAGGTGCGGTTTAATATTATACCGATATCACGTTTTCCTCCACCCTAAGCTAACCCAAGGGGGGAAGTTTAAAGGACATAACCTCTGTGACGATAGCTTTTTTCCATGGGAATCCATATTTTCGGATGAACGGACACTGGAACTGAACTGAACTGAGCGGCGAATGCTCTGGAAACTTGGAGAATCTAACTCTGGAGAGTTTTGCGTGGCCTGCGGGAACGGAAACTTGCCAGGATTTCCTCCTACACGGAGATCTACTTCCATGCCCTTCTCTTCGGACGTCAAAGAAGAGTTACAACTTACTCCAACAGTATCTTATTCTGCTAACTTATGTTACCAACGATGTGATTGAAAAACGTTTACAATACTACTTGTTTCTATGTTGCTCTCAGGTACCAAGTACAAGTTATTTTCCCGGGGAGAGACTCCAATACGTAAAGGCCAGGGACGCTCATCGGAAAGTTGAATTAAACCCCTGTAAGAACGATCTGGGTGTGGCTCGGGCTTTGTTAGACGAAATAGGCTTGATTACCAGCCGCTGNCTGACCGTGAAGGCCTGGGAGAAAGCCATACAGGAACTAGCCAACACTGCACTTCTCGAAGGGTTCCAAATTTCAAAGACATTAATTTGTATGTTTACTTGTTTGTATCTTTTCTGACAGATGAACAATGTAATAAAACTGGAAGAGTTCATTGTCCCATTAGGGCAGCCTCTAACCAACGCGTCAGGGAGCGGTACGTAACTGCAGTTCTCGATATTCCAGGACAGGAAACAGTACTAATCCCTAAGGAAACGCTACAACGATTGTGTGACCATTTGGGTGTCACGTGTTCTGAGGATTTCTTTGAAAAATGCAGCAAGATTTTGTATGGAACTCCGTCATTCACCAGAAACACGGTAGTTTGGACCGAGGAGCAAAAAGAGCGCGTCACAAAAGTGATGAAGAAATACCCTTTTCTGAAAGAATATTCATTTGACAAATATCCCAGCTAAACAAACAGTAAGGTGCGGTTTAATATTATACCGATGTCACGTTTTCCTCCACCCTAAGCTAAACCAAGGGGACGATAGCGTTTTTCCATGGGAATCTATATTTTCGGATGAACGGACACTGGAACTGAACTGAACTGAGCGGGGAATGCTCTGAAAACTTGGAGAATCTAACTCTAGAGAGTTCTGCGTGGCCTGCGAGAACGAAAACTTGCCAGGATTTCCTTCTACACTAGGATCTACTTCAATGCCCTTCTCTTCGGACGTCAAAGAAGAGTTACAACTTGCTCCAACAGTATCTTATTCTGCTGACTTATGTTACTGACGATGTGATTGAAAAAACGTCTACAATGCTACTTGTTTCTATGTTGCTCTCAGGTACCAGGTATATATGTTATTTTCCCGGGGGGAGACTCCAATACGTAAAGGCCAGGGACGCTCATCGGAAAGTTGAATTAAACCCCTGTAAGAACGATCTGGGTGTGGCTCGGGCTTTGTTAGACGAAATAGGCTTGATTACCAGCCGCTGGTCAGGAAAGGAGCCCGCGCTAGTAGCCCGGGCTCAAGAAATCGGCAGAACCGGTATCGTAAGTTAAATAAGTAATCATATTGCTTTGTAGAGTAAGTTATGCAAATTGTATTATTGTGAGTAGCACCTGTAATTGCATTGTATTGTAATTAGTGCAAGTAGTGCGTAAGTAAGTGAATTGTATTAATAGTTCTGTTGGTAATGTAATGGACTTTAGTAGTTGTGTTTTTCTTCCATGTCCTTTGTTACTACTTTGATTTCACCATGTTTTATGGCGCAAAACTTTGATTGTGGAATTCCTTTGCTGTTCAGGGTCTCTTGCAACTTCTTTGGTGGGTCAAGATAATGCTAACAAAATAAAGGAAAAATATACATTTAAGTTGAATGGAATCCTGTAATAGGACAACTCAGCACACCACGGGCCACAAAAGCCTGGTTGTAGTTGCATCTAATCTATCATGGCTTCACTTACACTCGACATAAATATAACATAAAAATAAGCATACTCCTTATGTTGTCCGTAAGTATTATAAAGGAATTAGAATTTTTAGTTTGGCATTTCTGTGTGGGTGTAAACCAGGTTTAAATGCACTTAATATGCTTCAATTGCTGATAAGGGTCAGTCATATGAAATAAACATACTTCCTCCAGTGGGGGTAGGGGATAGACAAGCCTGTGGGGGAGAGGGTCAGGTACACTTCTTAACTATGAGGTGCTTGACAGTATTTCTGCTTTAAAGGTTTCATTCATTATAATTTACTTTGGGGGTACTCCCATATATAAGCTATATGAGTATGTGCCACTGTGAAGGGCATGGTTTTCAGGTAGTTTAGTCTGGGATAGAGTATAGAAATCAGACAGTTTTGGTCTAGAATGGGGTATAATTTACCAGAAAAGTGACCAGTGTATAGATAATTTATTCTAGAACAGGATTCTTTACCCGGGGTTCTATAATAGAAACTGACACTAGGAAGTGACTTTGTAAATATATTGGTTTAGTTTGCATATGTTGGATAGTGACAAAGTTTCTGCATGGAAAAATATCTAGTCTGGGATAGCGTAAGGGTTTTTGGTGCCTAGTCTGGAGTAGGGTTGCNATGATGGCTGTTCACCACCCCAGGGCAGAATAAAGATTCCATTTTCTTTGCGAGCTTTAGGATACTCTTCTCTTTCTCCAGCCTCAATGTAATCTTTTTGCGACTGCACTGCCATGAGTATCTGCCTAAACCAAAAACAATAATTAGCGGTGTATTTTTTCCTCGTAATATTTCTTACCAAAATACATATATGTCAAACACCATACTGTACTTATGTCTCTTGCCCACCAATGCTTTGTATAGTGGGACAGTCCATGTACATCAAACAGTAGGGTGAAGTGAAAGGTGAACATTACACATGACCACAAGACTTTGAACAGGAAAATGAAGCAGTTGTCTCTTTTATTTCGCCTAAACCATAGTAGAATCGATATCACACGCACATAGGTGTTCAAATAATGTTCATTTCTAGTTAGGACATTTTCGAGATCTCCTCGAATAATTAAACTAGCGTTTGCCACTCTGGGTATGTTCAGAAAATCAACACCTGCGTGCGTCTGTGAAGTGTAGCAAGCTACAATGTAGCTAGTCACGACGTGTGAGCAGTATTACCTTTTCAGAAGAATCCTTTATCCAAGAACCAACGGTTTCAAAGGTTGAAAATTAAAGCTAAATGTGTTGCAATGTGTCGATGAAGAACAGGATGTCCGTTATCAAATGAATAAAAGATAAACTTGTCCCTTCGGCACGCCTGTGGTGGACATTTTGAATTCTCCCCTTGTGAGAGGTCTGGAACCCAGACTCCACTAAATTCTCGGTTCCAGACTCATCCCACTGAAAAAGGGGCGGGGCGGTAGGCAGGTAAAAATAGGGGGGAGGGGGAGGGTCACCCTTTTAATCCATAAAAGATCAGAGGGGCGGGCCATAAGAAAACTATGTATTACAGAGGGGTGGCCCATCCCTTGTAAAACATGCTTTTAATCTGAACATACAATAAGTGTATTATAAATTATTACTGACAGTAATTTTATACAGGTTGGTCCAGCTCCTGAGGGAAAAGAAAATACTAACTGAAAAGTGGAGCTTGATATGCTGGTAAGCAGTCCGTACTTCTTTGTGAAACTAACATTAATAATCAACATATTAAAATCAAGAACCAAGGGACACTATTATACAAGGAAACATTTATCAAACTGACTGTTCTGCCTCTCTTGAAATTTGTTTCTCGATGGTTATGGTAAAACGGAAAAAAAGAAGAAACACGATGAGGATGAGGATTAAGACGATGACGACGACGATGATTATTGATAGTGATGTAACAGTGCTGAAACAGTACACAGTGATGGCACTGATAATGACGATGACACAGTTTTGCTGTAAGTTAGTGTCCAGTGACGATGAAGAAAGTGAAGTTGAGAGGGGGGAGCCATGACTGTCCCTTTCTCAAAAAACAGGAAACCTTTCACTAAATACTTAGCCCATGGATTGATTATAATAATATTGTCATTTTACATTTTATTATGAAAAAGCAAAATCGTCAAGTAGAAAAATAAACAATACAAATACCTAAATTGGGTAGGCAAAATTGCAGACTTTGGTCATAGATAGGGTAAGGATTTTGGGAAGCAGGCTACACACTCCCACCCAGTGTTTTCTGGGAGTACCCCCATCCCCCCTCTGGGGAGTGGACCCTGCCAATTCTACCTCACTTTCTTTTCAAGACATTCATTTCAAATTTGATTTCATTGACAAGATCAACTCCAAATCTTATCATCAATGAATAGATTGCATCATTCAGAACTTGATAAGATGTGAATTACTGGTATTTAACATCTTTCTTAAGAGTTTTTACTTCAAATCCCAGGAGATTATTTATGCAGCTAAAATATATATTTTGATGTGTAAATAGTGTCCCAAACTAGATTTTTTAAGCTAAATACCATTTTAACACTTAAATAAAGTCTTTCATTCATTCATTTTATATCAGTTCTTCAAACAAAATTAACAAGGAAGATTCAACAACCCATTTTAAGGTTCTGCCTTCTTTACTTTTTTTTTACTTTAAAAGTGTTCACAGTACGTTTTACTTAGTACTGTGGATAATAAAATTTGCAATATTGAAACTTTGTTTCAGCCTACAAATAAATGTTAACATAATACAGCCTCTGTCAACCTCAGGCCTGCATAAGGCTCTACAGGTCTGACTAATAATTTTTAATAGTTATTAAAATTACTTTATTATTATTTAGTTACTCAGGCTTTCATAGGAAAGCCAGAGTCATAAAATGCAAGCGGTTCTGTCTTGGACATCAAAAGGGGGATCATGGGCCCAGGTGTTCCTAGCGTCAAGCATGGAAACTGGGGATGAGAATGAGACAGCTTGCCTATTGTGTGGTTGCTCTTCATGAACATCGTAATGTACAGAATGCAGATAATGCAGTATTTTGTAAAGAAAGTTTTGGAAAGAATCATGCCTTATAAGTTCATCTCACATACAAAGATGTCGATTGTTTTCGGAACAGGTGGATCCATGAAATATATTGCTTGAAAGCTTGCCAAATAAGCAAAGTTCATGCTTGTTCTCATGAGATAATAAAAAAGCCATGCACAGGTTCAAACTACAAATCAAGAATCGTCATTAACAACACTTCGAAGATGCAATTGGATAAAGAGGATACTCAATGAAGCAACTAGAATAGTAAATATCTAAGTGTAACTCCTGTGTTCAATATCTTGATTCTGTTCTTTCTAGTTCTTTATAATGAGGTCATTTTATGACTTTAGTCTCTCCATGTTTCATGGTAAAAAAGGCTGTTTCTGGAATTTCTTTAGACTTCAGTGCTTCACTCAGGTCTTTTGGAGGGTCCATAAAATGCTGTACAAGAAAAACAAAATAATGGATTGACTAACTGCAATTAAAAAACAGAGAATATTTCTTCTTCATCAAAATTATTATCATGCTATGTCCCAGGAAGCTTCCGTATAAAAATGACAGGGGTGTTCGTTGCACCTTTTAGGGGTTAAAAAAGTGGTTTTGTTAAGTCTTGGGAAGTTCAGCCTCAAAAGGTCCACAGTGGGAGCTTTTACAGTACCTTTTGTGGTATTGTCTGGAAAAAAATATGATGGGAGATAATGTGTAGTTCTAGAGTTGGCACCTCTAGGGGTGAAAAAAAAATTCAAGCCACACCCTTAAAACAGGATCTTGGTACCTCTTAGGGATTCTTTTCAAAATTTCCAATGAGCACCCCTGTCCTTTGTAAATGGGATTCCCCACCCCCCTCGGGCTATATTTATTATTAATAGTGCATTATGTATTAATCAAACCATGTTAGGGTCAATATTATTCATTTGTTCCCCTTGAAAACAAATCTCTGTCAACAGATGCTAGTACGGTACTAAATGAATGATAAAGAGTATTATGAAAACATCTCAAATGAAACTCAGAGTAGGAAATATACTGACTTAAGTACTTGAAATGTGAAATGGTTTAAACACAAACTGTGGTGATTCATCAAAAATGATTATTATTAATAAATTTTATTAAAAACCAGATCATTGGATAATGCAATTCAAGAATTTTCGTTGGCTTAGCCATCACAGGCTATGAGCCATTATATCATGCTCTACAAATATGGTAAGAGTTTGCATGATTTTTTGGGTGCGTTTTTAATTCTATTTTATTTTAGTTTTCTATATTTTGGGGGCGCTTTTAATAAAACAATTATTCCACTGGCGCTTGTTGGATATAAGAGGATCATAGCCAACTCAGAACTATGGGCCTTGTAGGCTATCTACCATCTCATATCCAACGTGCTGTCATGGAACAATTGATAAATATATCATTTCTGTTGACCATTTAGTACCTCGTATCCTGTAGGAAAAGTACCCCAGTGGATTCCCAAAGAATGGTGAGATTGAATGTCTTCATGAATACAAACTGCTTCTGTGGGATCCACATGTTGGAAGTGCAAAAACCACCTAGAAAAAAAAAATGTTCTGTCAACTGACATAGCTTATTATGAGAATGAATGCTAGACAAAGGTCCTACCCATTTACAAGCCCTGGCCAGACTCATTGCTTTTTGTTCTTAAGAAAGACATTTTTACTCATCCACCCAGGAGTATTACAACAATTACTGGGGACCACGTTACTCCTTATAGGTGATTCCCTGAGGGTCACCTGGCATTTGACCTGTGTCACGTCCCGGGGGAATAGCAGTTGCTATAGTTTGTCTTATGGTCAGTAAATTTGCCTCTAGAACAAGTGGTCCAGGTTTGAGTCCAGGCCAGGGACATTGTGTAGTGTTCAAAGGCGGGACACTTTACTCTCAAGGTACCTGTCTCCACCCAAGTGTATGCGGTATATGGGTAGCGGTGAATTTAATGCTGGAGGTAACACTGCGATGGACTAGCATCTCATCCATCGGGGAGTAGAAATACTCCTAGTTGCTTCATACTAGTAAAACAGGAGATAAGTAGTGGCCTGATGGGCCACTTGGCTTGTATACAGACTCAACCTATGGTTAGGTTGTGTTTAGTACAGAAAGCAGAGTTACACCCTGGCATAGTAATCACCTAGCTTAATTATTCAAGTCCTATTAAAGCACAGGTCATCTACAGTGTAGGCCACTCCCTTAGATCAGCCATGGCATATTTCTCTAACCTTGGCTTATAAGCACCAATTGGTATTGCTGCAAAATCAAATGGTCCATACTGCTTTCCAATCTGTTTAAATCCTTTACAGTACCCAGTATCTCCAGCAAAGAAGAACCTATGTTTCGGTCCGATAACAGTCCAGCTTCCCCATAATACTTTATTTTCATCCATTAGTGTTCTCCGACACCAGTGTTGTGTGGGAGTGAAAACAAACTTTGTAGCATTGCCATTGCTTTTTGGTTTGAGAAACTCCATCTCTTCCCACCATTCAAGTTCTGTTACATTTTTACAGCCAATGTTACTCATCCACGATTTTAACCCCATAGGAACAAACCAATGCACACATTCTCCAAACCTCCGATTGAGATCTTTAACACTTTTTAGATCTAAGTGGTCATAGTGGGTATGACTGATACAAACTGCATCAATATTTGGCAGTTTGTCAACAGAGCAAGGTGCTGGCCTGTAACGCTTGAAGCTCATGAACTGGTTTGGCCCACAAAATCCACTGAAGACTGGATCAGTTAAAATATTAAGACCATCCATTTGAACGAGAACACTGGCATGTCCTAACCAAGTTACTTGGATGTCATCTAAAGGGGGTGATGACAAAATAGAACTATCAGGGGTTAGGACAGGAAGATTCTGCTCCAGCTCCTATTAAAGAAAAATTCACAACATTACTTTACAAGGAAGTTAGCATCTCTTCTCACCTTTAAAAAGAACTTTGCCGTACATGGTTCACACAAGCTTCTGAGAGATAGACAGGCAGTCTTAATTAAAGTATGATAAAAATTTAAAGCTGTGCAGTTTATGGGGTCGCACACAAACATAATAAACTAATTTAAATAAAACTCTATAAAAAGCACTTACATAACTGACTCAGTGCATCTGAAATTTGTCATTAAAATACCTGAGGGGGGTGCACCCAGAAAAATTGGGTGGGGGTGTGCGGCCCACTTCCCAAAACCCTTACCCTATTTATGACAAAAATCTGTGATTTTCACTACCCTATTTATGATCTTCCCAAAAATTCAATACCCTATTTATGGCCATTGCTGCTGGCACAGTTTCCCAAAACATAATTTATTAAGGGATTTTGTTGATGGTCTTATCGCTAATGATGAAAAAGTAGCTTCTTCTAAAAAAACATTCCTTATTCAAGACTAGAGCACAAAAACCATACCCTATTTATGACCAAAATGGCCAAAATGGGTATCCGGTCATTTCGCCAACGAGTCGTTTCACCAACGTCTCGTTCGCCAACATCCTAAGTCACTTCGCCAACGTCCCACTGGTCAATTCGCCAACGTCTAAATAAAAGTTTACCTTCACTTGTGTGTGTTCTATCAGGCTTGTATCAGGCTTGTATCAGACAATAAACTTAAACGAATTCAACATAGTGTCACTAGGAATATCCAGGCTAAGCCATTTGCGAGCTGGGAAGAGTACGAGAACAACGAAAAGACTACCACGCAACTACTCCAGACTTGCTCTCAGCTTAATGGAACAGCTCGTGTGAACTAGAACTTCTCTGTAAATAGGATGAATTGGTTTCAGATAAATATAGGTTTCAATCAGGTTTTGTAAATAGGTTTCATAGGTTTTTGTGCTTGTAAATATTTGATACTATATACTGTAATAAAATTGCTGTTGTTATTTACTTGACGTTCCATTTTATTTCTAACTCGA